TATTATTTAATATATATATTTTAGATTAGGGTTTTTTAGTTGTTTAGGCATATTGTTACTTTAAAAAGTATTATAGTTCATTTTGTTGAATTTTATAGCATTTTATAGAAATTTATAAAAAAAATAATTATTATTTTTGTGTTCCATTAGTATTTTTTAATAAAAAATAATAAATGTCAAATACTAGTATTTTTATAATAACATAATAAATATGTGAATTCTTTGTGCTTTTTATTTTTATAGAAAATATAAACATTTTAAAAAAATAAAATATTAATGAATAAATGTAGGATCTATGGGGATCCCCGCGGGGAACGGGGATGGGGATAGAAATTCCCCCCGTGACGGAGATCGGGGACGGGGACGGGGAATGAATTTGATGGCGGGGAAAAAAGATGGGGAAGTGTCCCCCCGGCCCCCGCCCCGCCCCATTGACATCCCTAATATGCATATATAGGTCAACCTATAAGGCTTCTTAAGTAATATAGATTTATTGAAAACTTTAATGAGAAACAAGCTTTTAAATAGGCTTTTAGGCCAGGCCAGACTTTTAAAAAATATCAGGCCAGGCCAAAAAATGAGCCTATAATAGATTATAGGCCAGACTCAGGCCTTGTAAGTTTATCGTAGGTTATACTCCGATCTTATAAAGTCTAGTCTAAACCTACGCCTATTTCCAGCCCTTAAAGAAGGGGTCACATTCTTATAATTAAGGAAAATGCATTCTTTAATGCTTCTACAATGGATAAAGACCATTTGTTCTTGAGAAATGATTAAGAGAAGGACTTGTGCAAAACATAATAGATAAATGTCTCTTATTATAAATAAGTAACATGATAAAAGTTATAAGTTCTAATATAAAACCATTAGCCTTTAGGGTTTACACCTTACAATCACCTACTAACATTAGAGTCAATCATTGACGTGCCCTAATATCCATAAATCTGGCTATGGACTGGTCATCATGCTTCTAATGAGTAAGAGATTTTGTTAGTGGGTCAACAATATTTTCAAGTGTTGGCGCATACTCTAGATAAGGAAATGGACACATAAATATGTTGTTTGGATCATTTGTGAGATATAGAAATACATATTACACTTTATTCTAAGTCAATGTTGGTTGATCACCTAAAAATAAGTTATGTAGGTATTATCTCCCTCTAATTGAGTCTCATAAAACTCTTCATACAAATGGGCCAGAATAACTCTTAATTATAATTCATCATATAAATTATTCTTAACTCATATTTCAAACCCTTACAAACTTTTTGAATTTATTTTAGTTCTATACCCAAAAGGTAGCAACCGAATATTACTTTCATTCCATCACATCTTACTATTATAGAAAATCAACTTTGCAAATGATTATAATCCCATTTTTTTATATTAATCTTGATGAGTGCTAACTTTGAAAAACTCTTAACTTAATATTTACTATAAGGATTTTACTAGGTGATCTTACTAACTTATGTATCTCATACAAAGAATACTTTTTTGTTAAGTATAATATCTAAATATCAAGAATCATATATATACTATATATATATACTATATATATATATATATATATATATATATATATATATATATATATTAGTATATATATATATATATATATATCTATTATATATATATATATATATATATATATATACTATATATATATATATATATAATATTATATAGTATATATATATATACTATATATATATATATATATATACTATATATATATATACTATATACATATATATATAATATATAGTATATATATATATATATATATATATATATATATATATAATATAATTAAAGTGACATGATTATGGACCTTAACCCAATTACTATATCAAGTCAATAAGGAATCTTAAATAAAACTAAAAAAAATTGTGTTTCTCCATGATCGACCTTCATGGATATCTTTTTCTAATGTTGTCTTCTTGTTTTCTTTATTACATTACACTAATAAACATACTTTTTTTATAATAAATAAATTGTGTTTTCTCCATGCAGACTGTATTTTACTATTTCTAGTTCTCGATAAAAAGTATAATACCTAACAAATACTTATGGTTAAGGGTTGTCAGAGGTTTTTATGATGGTTATCGTGTTTGAGAAAACTCATGTAAGAGGGTAAGAAGCTCTATATGTTGGTGTTTATCTGTGTGTTGGGCTTGGATCTTAGGATCCAAGGAAGTAGTATCAACTCTCAGAAGCATGGAAAAAAGTTCGTTATTTTCTCTATTTCTTGGGAGAACGTGGCAAAGATTCTTTTGACCCCCTCTCCCTTACCGTTATAGATAGAGGCACGTCACCTCCATGTTATCGCATGAAGGCAAGTGATATATAACCAAATGACGGACGCTCGTACCAACAAATGGGCGGCCAAGAAGCTAACAGGGGCGATATATTATGCCTTTACCCCTTAGAGAATTTCCTATGCTACTTATTGTACGCCTTTCATAAATATACAACTACTATGAAAAACCCATTTAACAACGGCTGAGAAAGATATATAACAACGCGCGACTAGGTGTTGTTATGTAAAATATCGTTGAATATATGATACTTACAATCACGACCAGTAACCGTTGTAATAAACTGGAAAGTGAGCTGCCTATCACAACGGATTTTCCAAAAGACTGTTGTGATAAAATTAATGGTCCTAGGTTCGATTTTCAACTGCGCTATTTTGATATTTATTTTCTATGGACATTACGCGAGATATTATAATGGTTATGATTATAACAATTATTACATTTTCTGTATAATTAACAAATATTATCCTGCTTTTTATAATTAATCCCATTTTTTTAACCTGTATTATTATTGTTCAAATATCAGAGTAGAAGATACAACTCACATTAATGATAAAGTTATCATAATAATATTAATTGTATCATATTCATAATATCACATAATTGTATCATATTCAATTGTACCATAAAAAACATTCTATAATTTATCAGAACAAATAACTTATACTTTATACATTATATAACATCATATAATTGTAACTTGATGTTTTGGTGTCTTGTCTCTCGGTGTCTTGTCTCTAAAGACCTATAATTTCAAATGATTATAATTGTTACTAAAAATACTTAGAAACTATAACATACAATTAAATATATTATGAATAAAGAATAAATTACGTACTTATTAATTTTCCCAAATGCCTCATTCATGATCTATTTGAATAACATGGACATCATCTCCATCAACTTCATTATATGAGGTAGGAACTTGTGTTGTGTAAGAAGGTGTGGACAAAATATCAAGACCTTCATCACTAAGAGAAATGTGTTTTATTTGGAGAATGATTGACCATTTCTCTGATATGTTCGATGGGTCAGTAACATAGAAACTTGTTTTGCTTGAAAAGCCATGATGAATGGTTCAGTCATAAAAGATGCCTTGTCAAGGTCGACCCGGGGTGAATCCTAAGTTATAAATGTGTACACCATTACTATTATTGGGAATCCACTTGCATGTAAATAAAACCACTTTAAAAATAACATAATCAATCTCCCCAATCTCATCAATGACACCATAAAACGGGGTAGTTGCCAATACAAGATTCTTATCTTTCGAACTAGAGAAATACATCGATTCGACTTCAACCATAACCCCACTATTTTGCATTATACTACGATCATCTTTTGATTT